CTGAGCTTTTCTGCTTATGGCTAGCGCTCTACCACTAGAGCCACAGCATCACTTCTGGCTTTTTGGAGTAGTTTATTGGAGATAAGAGTCTCATGGAGAGGACTGGGAAGGTGGCTCAGTGGTAGAGTGTTTGCCTGGCATGCATGAGACCCTGGGTTCGATTCCTCAGCACCACATAAGCAGAAAAAGCTGGAAGTGGCGCTGTGGCTCAAGTGGTAGAGCGCTAGCCTTGAGCTGAAGAGCTGAGGGACAGTGCCCAGGCCCAGAGTTCAGGCCCCATGACCGACAAAAGTCTCACAGTTTCCTGCCTGGGCTGGCTTCCAATCACGATCCTCAGATCTCAGCCTACTGAGTGGCTAGGATTACAGGTGTGAGCCACAGCACCACTTCCAGGTTCTGTGTGTATGTGGAACCGAGGAATCAAACCCAGGGCTTCCTGCCTGCTAGGCAAGCACTCTGCCACTGAGCCCCCTTCCCAGCCTTCCCCTTCCCCCCTGCCCCAAGGAGACTTCTGTCTTCAATTAACCACCCAAAACTGGAGCAGCTGTGGCTCAACTGGTAGAGCAGCAGCCTTGAGCAAAAAGCTCAGGGACAACGCCTAGGCTCTGGGTTCAAGCCCCAAGACTGACACCAAACAAAAAAGAAAGAAAGAAAAAAAGTAGGAGGTGAAGGGAGTAGGGCTTGCATGTGTGTGCACACGTGTGTGTGTGTGTGTGTGTGTGTGTGTGTGCATGTGCCTACTGAATAAGCTCATTAAGCATCTCTCTCCTGCAGCCCTGAGGGCTGGCATCCCTCCCGAACCCTGTTTCTCCTTGCCCTGTCTGTGGCCTGGGCACAGGGCGCCCTTCCCAGCCCCACAGAGTGCCTCATCGTGTTGTCTGCCAACGGCAGCGCGGTCTCCTGCTTCTCCCCGGCCAGATTCCCCAGCGTTCTCCCTGCTGACACCTTCCACCTGGCTGTGGAGTTCTCCAACCTCACCTTGCTGCCAGCCGCCGCCCTGCAGGGGGTTCGAGGCCTGCAGGAGTTGCATCTCTCTAGCAACCAACTGGAGGCGTTGGAGGCCGAGCTCCTGCAGCCCGTGCCTGGGCTGCGGGTGCTGGATCTCACCCGCAACGCCCTGCGCAGCCTCCCCGAGGGGCTCTTCCACCAGGCCTCTGCCCTCCACACCCTGGTGGTGAAGGAGAATCAGTTGCGAGGCCTACGGGCCTCTTGGCTGCAGGGCCTGAAGGCACTCAGCTTCCTGGATCTGTCTGGGAACGGCCTCCGGGCTCTGCCGCCCGGGCTGCTGGCCAATCTGTCTGCCCTGCGCACGCTTGACCTTGGGGACAACCAGCTGGAGACCTTGCCGCCCGGCCTCCTGCGGGGGCCGCTGGCTTTGGAGCGCCTGCACCTGGAGAGGAACCGGTTGCGCGCCCTGGCGGAGGACCTGCTGTGGCCCCAGCCCAGCCTGCGGTCCCTTTTTCTCCAGGAAAACCGGCTGGCCTCCCTGGAGGCAGGACTCTTCCAAGGCCTGCAAGGGCTGGACATGTTAGATCTGTCCAATAACTCGCTGAGCAGCCTTCCCAGAGGTCTCTGCGCGCCCCTAGGGAGGCCGGCAGTCCGGGACATGGAAGACGGCTTCGATTTCTCCCACAACCCCTGGCTCTGCGGCCCCAACCTGCATGACTTCTACCTCTGGCTGCTGGACAATCAACACAAGATGTTCTCCAGAGAGGACACACGGTGTGCCCAGCCGGAGGCCTTGAAGGGAAAGCCGCTCCTGGAGGTGGCCAGCTCCCAGGGAGGCCTGGAGCTGGGGTGGGCGTGGGAGAACCCCATGTAGCACCTTTGTTTCCCCCCCCTTTGCTTCCTTCAAGGGCCTGATTCCAGTCTCCCACTGCTCCTGGGGTTCCCTGTCAGCCAAACTCCCCAAACCTGCCCCTGGCTGCCCAGTCCCCTGTGTGTTTATTCTCTGGCTAGGGCTTCTTTTCCTGCCTGCCATTTTCCATCTTTTGTCCCCTGCTTGCCCCCCCAGATCCTTCGTCCCTCCCGCTGGCTGAGTCCTGGCCACACCAGGGAGGTGTTTTTGTTTGTTTGTTTTCTGTCAGTCCTGGGGCCTGAACTCTGGACCTGGGCACTGTCCCTCGGCTCTTCAGCTCAAGGCGAGCGCTCTACCATTTGAGCCACAGCGCCACTTCTGGTTTTCTGGTGGTTTTTTAGAGATAAGAGTCTCACGGACTTTGTTGCCCAGGCTGGCTTTGAACTGTGAACCTCAGATCTCAGCCTCCTGAGTAGCTAGGATGACAGGCGTGAGCTACCAGCGCCCGGCATGTTTGTTTTTTAATCTACCTTCATTGTCCTGGGGACTCTGGGAGGGCTAAGCCTAGAACCCTGGTTCCTCTCAACAGACTCTGCCCCAGATGGTTAATAAATAACTATGGAACAAAATCTAACTGGTCTGTGTCCAGATGTGGCTTCATCTTGAAAGTAGGCATGGTCCAGTGCCAGCAGCTCATACCTATCATCGTAACTACTCAGGAGGCTGAGAATGGAGGACCAAGGCTCAAAGCTTATCACCAAAGAACCAGCTAAAAGCTGGAAGTGGAGCTGTGGCTCAAGGGGTACAGTACCAGCCTGAGTTAGTTCAAGCCCTGGGACCAGCACACACACGCGCACACACACACACACACACACACACACACAGGGAAAAAAAAAGGAAAGAAGAAAGGCAGGCATCAGAGGAGGGATGAGGAGTTGAGACCCAAAAGCCTTCATTGTTCCCAAGTAGATGGCTTGTCCTTAGGATGGGTTGTCATTGGCTCCTTCCCTCCCTCCCTCCTTCCTCCCTCCCTCTCCCCCCCACCCTCCTGGGGCTGAGCTGGAAATAAAACCCTGCTCATTGCCGGGTGTCATTTTCCCTGTGGACTCCTGCCAGCCCTTGTGTCCCAGATCGCACAGGCAGGTCTCCGCCGTGTCACATTGGGCTGCTCTGGCCCAGGGCGCCTGCTCAGGGTACACCCCAGGGGCTGGAGGGAACTGAAGGCCTGGGCAGAACTGGGGGGTTGAGTCCTCACAGCTCAGATCTGGGAACCCTTGTCCATGCAGAGTTGGGCATGGGAGGCTGGAGTGAGGTTTCGGGGACTCTGAGTTATTTGGGGGTTGCCTAGGTTCAGCCCCCTAAAAAAAAAGGATCATGTTATGTCCAGGTCAAAAGCCTGTGGTCTGGAGACAATCAAGCTGGATTCGTATTAGATAGTTACAAAGCCAGGACAACTGGTTTCAGGTTTTGTGGAGGGACAGGGGTACTGGGATTTGAACTCAAAGCCTGGTGCTCATTGGGCTTCCTTGTTCATGGCTAAATGTTTTACCACCGGAGCAACACCTCCAGTCCAGCTTTTCACTGGTTATTTTGGAGTTCGGGGGGACCCCTAGAAATTTTCTGCTTGGGCTGGCCTTGAACCCTGATCCTGCAGATCTCAGCCTTCTGGGTAGCTAGGATTAAAGGCGGGAATCTCCTGAATCTGTCTGGTTTAAGCATTTGAACTCTATTTTGCTCATTTGTAAAAATGAGAGAAAGGGCTGGGCTGGCTCCTGGCTTTCAATAGCAGATTTACGAGATGAAAGAAGCCAGGCATTGGTGGCTCACGCCTGTCATCCCAGCTACTCAGGAGGCTGAGATTGGAGGATCACAGTTCAAAGCCAGCCCTGGCAGGAAAGTCTATGAGACTCTTATCTCCAAGGAATCACCAGAAAATTGGAAATGGAGCTGTGGCTTAAAGTGGTAGGGCGCCCGCCTGCCTTGAGCTGAAGAGCTGAGGGACAGCACCCAGGCCCAGAGTTCAAGCCCCACAACGGACAAAAAAACAAAAAACAAATACAGGGCGGGGAAGGTGGCTCAGTGGTCGAGTGCTTGCCTAGCATGCATGAAGCCCTGGGTTCGATTCCTAAGTACCACATACACAGAAAAAGCCAGAAATGGCGCTGTGGTGCAAGTGGTAGAGCGCTAGCCTTGAGCCAAAGAAGCTCAGGGACAGTGCCAGGCCCTGAGTTCAAGCCCCAGGACAGGCACAAAAGAAAAAAAAAAGGTGTGTGTGTGTGTGGAAAGTGACTTGCCCAGGGTCGTTCGGCCAGGCGTTGGGGGGTGCGGGGGGGGCTGCCTGGGGAGTCATTCACATCAAGTAATTTAGTCCTGGGGCATCGAGCGTCGCGGGGTTGGTATGGAAACCGCGGAGCCAGGACCCAGCCGGGCAGGACCCTAAAGCTCCGCCCACCGGGAACACACCCCCTCCGGAGCCTTCCTCTCATTGGTCAGTCCTCGAAAAGGTTCCCGCCCTCTCCCCCACCC